AATTACCCATGAAATTTATAACATACAATCAGTTTCTTTTTAGTTGGGTTCAAATGATGTTGATTACGCTGTTATAAAACTCCTTTATAGTTAGGTTGAAAACCATATCAATAGATTCTTTATTTGGTTGGTCCAATCTGTACTAGATGAGATTGTTTTGTTTGATGTTTCAATCAAAATTTGGTCTTTTTTGTGTGTGAAATTATAATGGAATCACAAATCAAGTATATCTTAGATTCTTGGTTGCATACTCACCTTCCCACAACTATTATATTATCTATTGATTGGATGTTTTTTTTTTATTTTTATAATTTCCAGGATCTACGGTTGCAATGCTTTTGATACATGCAGTAAGGAGGAAGTCGCTACTCTTATGGAGCTTCTTTGGCATGGTAAGTTGAAGTTGCATGTCATTTTTTTTTTCGTTCATGGAATTCATTATCTTGCTATCTTGGCAATTAGCAATGTCTGACGATTGGTAAAATGTAAGAATAAATGTGTTGAAGGTTGAAAGTCTTGAATCAATTTTAAGAAAGAACAATCTCCTGTTAACTGTTAAAACTCCCTCTTATATTTAGTACGTAGAATCGTACACATGAAAGTGAATTTTAACAACTCTAACTTAGATTTCTTAATAATTTGATTCGTCTTCCTTTCATTTGTGTTCGACTATTTTACTTTTTTTCTATGTAAGTACAACTATTGATCGAAAGCCACAGAAAATACTCAACGGTTGAGAAATTGTTTTTGTTACAAGAATAGATTAAGATGTAAAGCTTAAATTTTGGGCACTTAAATATATGTGTTTTGTTTGGCAATTACAATCACTCGCATGAAAATCCAATTGGATTTGTTCTGGTCTCCATGATTTTTTTTTTGTTTGATTATTGATTAATTTATGTGGCGAGAGTTTAGATTTTGCTTTGCTGCCCATGTATATTTGATTTGAAATGGACAGTTCAATTTGCTGTATATAAATTAGTAATCAAAAAGCTCCAAGGAGAGGTAAATTAGAAACAATGGTGGAAGAGTGATGGAGTTGAGGAGTTGATAGTTTATAGGGTTTCTTGAATTTCTGGCTGATGTCCATGGTATTGATAGATCATTGAGACTGACTGATTGGTTGATTAATCACTAATTTGAAATACTTAAAATGTAACTTTTCTTTAATTCCTTTTCATTTTGTATTTTCATTGGATTCGAAAAATGAAACGAATCCAATCAGCTATTACGCCTTTGAATATTTTTACATCTTAATGCTTACTTTAAATACGTTAATTTGTTCCCGTTTCTATAAAATTTTGTGCGATGTGAACAATGTGGGTTATTCTCAATCTTCAGATGGTGATTATTTGGCAACTTCTGAAACATGGCTACTCAGCCTCTGAAATACAGAGCTGGGGATGAGAGCAACCAGATGAGCTAGAATTGGGTTTATATCATTCTAAATTATTCGTTTGGTTACCGATAGAAAATATGGTTGCCAAGTCCAGTTTTTTATTTTCATCATCTTAAACATTTTCCTTTGATAGCACTTTGTTTTGATTTGTGAACGAACTATATACTTTATATTTATCTTAGGTCATAGTGTAATGTTTAACGATTGAATTTGTGAGACGGTTTAGTAGTTTTTTCAGAAACTTACTATTCCTGCCAGATGCTCAAATATTATGTCTTTTACTGTTTTGCTTTCCCTTTTCCGTGTTTTTCCCCATATAGTAGGCTTAGCACTTGAAACTATGAGTATAATACTGATGGCACAATACAATCTACAAATGAATGCTTTCTTATAGCATGCATATCCGTATATAGCAAGCTAAGTTTTACTTCATTGGTTCTTAGGTACTACGTTGTCATTAAGTTAGTTTGTGTGGAAATTATTCATGCCTGTCACGACTAATATATTCAATTCCCACAACAACGCGCAAACATATTTTCTTGTAAATACCATGAAGCTAGAGAAACGGGCTTTCCCTATAGCTAAAAAATTATCTATATACTAAAACCCGGTAGAGAAACACTGTTCATGAGCAGTGTAATTAGGGGTGGTTCGGTATGAAATCCCATACCGAACCCCTTGTCCCGATTCCTAAACCAAAAATTTCGGGAATCCCAATTTCAATACCGATCCCAAACCAAATTTTCAGGAATCCCAAAATAGTTTCGGGATTTCGGGACAAATCGGGAATCCCGAAATGATTTTGGGCTTTTGGACTAAAATATTATGTTTTTAGGCTAAAATTGAACCTTTTAACACTTTTGGGCTGCAATTTGCTAAGAAACACGTTGCAATATGTGCCAATTGCAAGACTATGTCAATTTAAATGTAGATGCTACAATTGCAAGACTCTGCCAATCTGGATTCAAATGTAGATGCTACAATTGCAAGACTCTGTCGATTTAAATCATTCATACAGAAATATGTGCAACTATTGAAGCCTTCATTTTCTATGGACTCCCATGTCGTGTGTGTGTGGGTGCTTATTATATAAGTGTATAAGTAACCAAGCTGAAATCTGTGCACAAATCTGCCCATCTGCCAATCTGTGCAGTACAACGGGTAATGGAGTGGAGTGGTGCAGTACACTCGGATCTGATCCAAAAGCACAGATAATCAGTTAGTCATTAGAAGTTTCAGAGAGAAAGAAAAGAGCAAAAACAAGTTCTCAATGCATATTTATCACTCATCCAGAACAGAAAAGAAGAGAACAAATACTATATATTAACTGCAAGAGCATATATGAGTTAACTGTAATATGAGACTCTTATAGGATTCAACCAATACTAACTATTAACTGCAACAAGGACCAGAATTATATAGATAACTTAATCTGCATATATATACAACATTGGTTAGGTGGCTTCATGAAATCTTTACATACAAGTACAACTACTCGATAACTTGTTGGTTTTTCCAATTAAGTCATAGGGTGATTAGTAAGAGTGAAATATTATTCAACTTCGATTTTAAACTTCAGCCGCTCGTTTGGACAAACTTTCTTAAACAAACAATTTATGCAGTATCCATTATTGATACGTCTTACCACTTAACAGTGGACATGAAGAAGGGACATGATTAATTGGGACCAAACAAGGGGTGGCTATGCAGAATCACATATACACAATAGCGATATAGATCAGAAAGTAGCGGGTTCCTAACCTCTCCGTCGATTCAAAATCCCTAATTCAAAAACCCTAATTTCAGAAATCCAAATTCAAAATCTCTAATCAAATTTGGAATCAAACAATTTGTATGAAGTTTATTGCAGGAATTTCTTACCTTTTGCAGTGAGGAGAAGTGCGGACTGAGGACTGGTATGGAGGACAGTGGGTGAAGGCGCGATTCAGGTGAGGAGTGAGGACCCAGAGGAATGAGGACTGGTGTGGCCGTGCGGGTAGATTCGGGATTCAGGCGACGGATGTGGAAGGAGAGACAAATCGGCGAGGAGAGAACAAGAGTGATTGTCGAGAGAGACCGAGAGAGAGATCGGGATTTAGGTCTGAGGTGAGGTGAGGTGAGGGTGAGAGTGACGAGACTGTCGAGAGACCGAGAGAGAGAGTCAGACACGGGTTTAAAACATAACAACGGTTGAGATTAAATCTCAACAGAATCCAACGGCTATTAAAATTCTAAATATATATTTAAAAATTAAATAATATATATATATATTTTTTTTCGGTTGGGTTTGGGAATACCGAAATCCCAAAAACTTGAGACCGATTCCCGTACCGAAATTTCAGGATCGGTTCGGTATTGGGTACCGAAATTTTCTGGAATTTCGGTTTGGGATTTTTTCGGTTTGGTTTCGGGAGTTTTTCGGTTTGGTTTGAGATTTTTGGGATTTTTTTCCAGCCCTAAGTGTAATGGTGGAAATGCCCTTGCTGGCTTCTCATTTTTCCTTTCTTTCGCCTGGTTGGTACAGTTAAATGGCGCTTTTGCCCATCTTGGACACGCACCCGTCATCGTCGTTTCTTTGTTTTGGGTGCATTTTCACCATTGTTCTTTCTGTTTCCATTTCTTTCTTTTACAGATTTGTGGTTTTACAGAAAAAGGGAAAAAAGTGATGAACTGGAGGAAAGTGGGAAATGCACTGAGCAAGTGCTTGGACAAATGTTTTTAATTGAGTTGTAAATTTTGTTTCAGTATTAGACTTTGTATGAATATACATTTGAATAATCATTTTGCAGTTTTTAAATAAATGAGTCTCACTAATTTGTATTAGTTTTTATCTGAACCACATGTGCACTTACCAGTCTGTGTGGGTTAACTAAATTGATGCATATCTTGCCAGTTAGCAATATGTATTTGAAGGAATTTTTTAAAATAAATCCTTTATTAAATACGTTTAAACAATTTGTCTTTGGTTCTATATGTTTGATAAAAATTGGGTGGAATGAGTAACCAATTTAATCGGGTGGCGCATATTGGGTGCGCGATAGCATTGATATAGGAAAGAACGTGATCCACGCGCGCGATAGGAAAGAACGCAAAACTTTCATTCTCGCGACGTACGGTCCTCTAACGGCGCCGGAGCTTCATCTGTAGGAAGATTTTCTGGAGTATGTTGTGATAAATCATGTCAAATCTGTTTGAGGGTTCTAGGGCAAATTCTTGTCCATGGGCTTTTGCCATGGTTTCAGATTCCACTCCTCTTCCCCGAAATTCGAAGCCACCATCTATGAAGGCCAGGACCTTTGCGTCAATTGTCTCGGATTCTACTGAGCGTGTTAGCTTGAGTCAACTCTCAATTCCCGTCATACGTGGCGACCAAATTTTCGTTAAAATTAGCGAGGATTTGTACCAACAACAATTGTAATCCTTCCGTACCAATTTAATTGGGCGTTTATTGTTGCGCAAAGGGCACAGCCCCTTTAAAGACTGCAGAGCTCAAATCATCCCTCGAGGCTTTATGGAGGCCAGTCGTGCCATGGCTTCTCGTCCCGCTTGGGAAGGGTTATATTGATATCCATTTCAATATTGAAGATGACAAGAGGAGGATATGGGGAGGTGGGACTTGCACGTTACCGAATGGAATTTTTCGTTTATCGGAATGGCAACAAGATTTAATCCAAATGATATTGCACCTCCTATACATGCTCAAGTTTGGATTCGAATATATAGGCTTAGCCAGGATTATTGGCATCCACGCCACCTTCTTGAAATTGCGAGGGGAGTGGGTACTCCTTTGCAACTTGATAAGGCCACGAAGGAGCGCCAGTTTGGATATTATGCTCGTGCTTTGGTTGATGTGGATCTAGCTGTTGACCTCCCCTCCTCCATCATGGTGGAGCGTGAGGGTCATAGTTTTCCCATTGATATAGTTTATGAAAAATTGCCGGACAAATGTAACCATTGTGGAATCTTGGGACATACCATTGATCGTTGCCGTCACCTTAAGAAGAAAAATGTGGCAATGGATTCCCAACCTTCTCTAGCGGCAGGACGAAAGGTAAATAATAGAACAGAGTATCGGGTTATTCAAGACCCAAAAAGAAATGAATGTGTTGATCTGATAGTTGTTGATAAGATGCAACCTATTGAAGAGGTAGTCCATTCATCCTCTCCAATGGAGTTGAACTCTCCTCTTGATCAGCAACCGGACAATCTGGCAAATGAAATAATTGAATCAGCGGCCAATGAGATCATCAATTTAGTGGCTGATTTAGTGGTGAATGAGCCAATGGAAGTGACTAAGCCAACTATAGGTGCTTTGATTAGTAAGCCAACTGGGAAAGCATTGCAGGATGAGCAAGGAAAAAATGTAATTGGGGATGACTCGGAGTCTGACGAGGCTATCACCCCTCATTCTCAACGTTTTGAAGTTAATTATGGCGATTTGGGTACTAATGTTGGTCAGCTTGTGTGCCAGCATTCCTCTCCTAATTCTTCTGATCTTCAAGAATGTGCTAAAATTTGTGATATTGTTAATGAAGACAGAATGACTTTAGTTCTTTCAAAATCCCAAAAAGCAAAGATGAGGAAAAAGATTAGAGATGGGAATATTTCTAAAGAAGTCAGGGAACCCTATCCAACCCGCTTTAGGGTCCCCATAGAACGACTTGATTTATGAAGATTCTTTTTTGGAATGCCCGAGGAATGGGGAATGCTCCCACGAAACGGGTTCTAAGAAGAATGGTTCAACGTCATCGTCCATATTTAATCGGTATTTCTAAACCTTTTATTCAATTAAATTCTATTAAATTGTCTTTTTAGCGATCCTTACGCTTGTTTCCAGTTGCAATTAATGACAGGGGTGACCTATAGCCAAATATTTGGTTGCTTTGTGATCAAGCCTTCCAACCTTCTATTTTATTGGCAACTGCTCAACAAATCACTATTTCTTGTACCTTGGATTTTGTCAGTTGTGTTATCACTTGGGTTTATGCAAAAACGACAATTATTGAAAGGCGTCAGTTGTGGCAAGACTTGCAATCTATCAAATCCTCTTTTGTTAATGGTCCATGGCTAGTTCTAGGGGATTTTAATTGTGTTTTAGGCGCTCATGAAAAAAGGGGTGGGGTTCTTCCCAAGACTACTTCTTGTTCTGATTTTCAAGAGATGTCTTCAGCTTGTGATTTGCTTCATTTACCCACAAAAGGATTGCCATACACTTGGACGAATAGAAGAGGAATAAAAAATCAAGTGGAAATGAGATTGGACCGTTGCCTTGGTAACTTTCAGTGGATTGATGCATGGTCTTTGTTGGAATGTTCTACTTTACCCCGTATATCTTCTGATCACTGTCCTCTTCTTGTTTCTTTCTCAAAGTTAACAATCACTCCGAAGGCTCCGTTACGGTTTCATAGTATGTGGTTGGATCATCAGGATTTTTTTCCCCTAGTTGAGGATGTTTGGAAGTCTTCTAATTTTTATGGTTGTCCAATGTATGTGCTTGGTGCTAAGCTTCGTGTGCTTAAGTCTTGCATAAAAGTTTGGAACAAGTTGGTTTTCGGGGATGTTAATATGAATGTTGATAGAGCTTTTGATGCTTTGGATGAAATTCAAAAGGAAATTTCCAGCTTGGGTCCTTCAGAAGAAAGGTTTACAAAGGAGGATAATGCTTCTTTGTGCGTGCAAAAGGCTCTTATTGCACAGGAAAAATTTTACCGTGACAAGTCTCGCATTAAATGGCTTTCTGAAGGGGATAATAATACCTCTTTTTTTCCATTCCATGGTTAAAATCAGGAAACTTCACCAGTCACTAGCAGTTATGAGAGATGGTAATAGGGTACTTGATAATCATATGGGTATTAGTCAGCATGTTGTTACATATTTTCAAGATCTTTTTTCTGCAGATAGTTATGTGACGGACACTGGTTTGGTTGCTCGCATTATTCCCAAGGTAGTCACTGCCACCGAAAATGAGTCTTTGTTAGCAATTCCAACTCTTGATGAAATTTTTGAAACTTTAAGGTCCATGGACCACTCTAGTTCCTCGGGTCCAGATGGTTTTGGCGGGTCTTTCTATTTTAGGTGTTGGCCCATTGTGGGTAATGACGTGGTTTAAGCAGTACAAAGTTTTTCTCCCAAGGGAATATTCTGCCTCACTTCAATTCTAACTTAATGATTTTAATTCCAAAGGTGGATGGAGCGAATTTGAACCATCTTCGTCCTATTGCTTTGGCTAATTTTTCATTTAAAATTATCATTAAGATTTTAGCAGATCGTTTAAGCCCTATTGCTGCTCGCATTGTCTCCCCCCCAGCAGAATGCTTTTACGAAAGGACGATCTATTGTGGATCCCATCATTCTCACTTCTGAATGCATGAACCTCCTTGATAGACGTTGTAGGGGTGGGAATATTGCAATCAAGTTTGATATTCAAAAGGCGTTTGACACTTTGGATTAGGGTTTTCTTCTCTGGGTTTTGGATGCTTTTGGTTTTTCAGTAGGTTTTGTGGATTGGATCCGTTCTATTCTAACTTTAGCTCATCTTTCTGTCTTTATTAATGGTTCAGTTGAAGGTTTTTTCCCATGTTCTCGTGGTGTTCATCAAGGGGATCCTTTGTCTCCTATTCTCTTTTGTCTAGCTGAGGAGGTTTTTAGCAGGGGTTTAACAAAGATGGTGGAAGATGATCTAATTGACACTTTTTCAGTTCCCATGGGTATTGCTCCACCATCTCATGTTCTTTTTGCAGATGATATTATGGTTTTCATGTGTGGAACTAAGCGATCTATGCGTAACCTAATGCGTTTTGTAGAGGAGTACAACTTAAATTATGGGCAATGCATAAATAAATTAAAATCTTTAGTTTTTCTTGGGAAAAATGCAAGCAGTCGGCATGCTATTATTCAGAAGGTTCTTGGTGTAAGTCAGGGAAATCTGCCTTTTACTTATCTAGGTGTCCCTATCTTTCAGGGTCGTCCGAAAAGGATCTATTTTCAAGCCATTGCTGACAAGATTCGTTGCAAGTTGACGGCTTGGAATGGTTCTTTGCTTTCGCAAGCAGGGAGACTCCAACTTATTAATTCAGTAATTCAGGGAATCTTGGTTTATAGTTTTCAAATTTATGCTTGGCCTACTAATTTGCTACGTGAAGTTCAAGGGTGGATTAGAAATTTCTTTTGGTCTGGTGATCCATTAAAACGAGGTATGCCTCTAATAGCTTGGAGTTCTTGTTGTAAGTTGAAAGAAGAGGGTGGTTTGGGTATCTGAGATCTTTTTGAATCCAACCATTCTCTCCTTCTTAAAAGATGTTGGGATGTAATTTCTTCTTCCTCACCGGCTTCGGATTGGTTACGTAACAGATTTCTTAAAGACAACTTTCATTTGCTAAAGTCTTATAAAAAGTCTTCCATTTGGTTGGGGCTTAAACAATTATGGCCCTCCTTCTATAGTTCCCTTCAATGGAGTGTTGGTGATGGCCGTAAGATTTCTTTTTTGTATGATAACTGGCTTGGAACCACTTTGCTCTCTAATATTGGTGAGGTTGACATAATTCCCTTGAATTCGAAGGTAAAAGATTTTATTCAGGATGCAAAATGGTCTCTTCCCATTGTCTTTACTTCTTCTTTTCCTCATCTTTCGGAGAAGATTATGAAGACTCCATTGCCAATTGCACACATGGATGATGCGTTATTTTGGACAGGTTCATCTTCGGGTACTATTTCAGCTAAGGAGGCTTTTCTTTTTTTCTCATCTCATGCTCCACATAAAAAATGGGCTAAAATGGTTTGGCATCAATCTATTCAGCCACGCAAAAGCTTAGTAGTTTGGAAAGCTTGTCATGGAAGATTATTGACTGATGATTTATTGCAACGCCGAGGTGTGGCTTTAGCTTCTTATTGCGCTTTTTGTCATAATGCTAGGGAATCTTGTGACCATCTTCTTCTGCATTGTCCTCAAACAGTTGCTTTATGGAAATGGATTTTCATTCTTTTTGGCAAGCCTTATGTTCCTTGGCAATGCATTGAAGATATTTTTTATGGTTCTTTGGTCTCATCTTTCCTAACATCTGTTCGGAAACTTTGGTTATTGGTTATTTGCAGTTTCTTTTGGTGGCTTTGGCACGAAAGGAACAAGATTAGGTTTGAGAACAAAAGTTTCAGTATTGTCGAGTCCCAACGTTGTCTTTTACAGCATTGGAGGGAATCAGCTTCTACTTGTTTTTCTTCTTTCACTGGTTGTGTATCGATTCCCATATTCTCCATGTTAAGAATTTCATCCCTTTCTTTGGATGCTCTTAGTTTCGTGCCTGTGTTTTGGCGTCCGCCTCCTGTTGGGTGGATTAAGATTAACACAGACAGGTCTTGTAAAATGAATGGTCAAGTGGGTAGTGGTGGTGTTTTTCGTGACTCCAGTGGTCTTTTTTTAGAAGCGTTTGCCTCCTCGTCTTCTTATCCAAGTGCAGAGCTTGTGGCTGTCATCGAGGCAATTCAGATTGCATGGGATAAAAAATGGCATAACATTTGGTTAGAGACAGATTCTATGCATGTCATCAACCTACTATCAGCTCACTCTATGGATGTTCCATGGTTTCTTAAAGTTTCTTGGACAAATTGTTTATGGCATATTGCTCACTTGCATTTGCGTTTTTCGCATATTTTCAAGGAAGGGAATTGTTTGGCGGATGCTTTTGCTAATTTTGGTGCAATGAATAGTAGCTTTACGTGGTGGGACTTGGTACCAGATTTTGCTAATACGTCTTATAGAAGAGATTGTGTCGGGCTTCCATTCTTCCGTTCGAGCTCATGAGGAGCAAAATGTTGCTATGGAAGAGGATTTCAGGAAAGAAATATAATCAACTGAATTATGGGAATTCAATTTTAGATGACTGAAGCTAAGCACCCTTAAACTAGTCCATATCATTTTCATTAATTGTTTTTAGCGGGTTTTGACCTAGTCCCCCCGTTTGTTACTTTTCCTTTTTTTTCTTCTTATTATTAATAAAATCTTGTAGAAGGGGGACGAGCAGGGGGTTTCTGGGTGCAACGGTCCTTTCTCCTTTGGGAGAGGGTTGGTGCCTCGCACGCGACTGTTGACGAATAGCTAATCTCGCCTAATCCGTCTCTACAAAAATTTCAAAAAAAAAAAAAGAATTGGGGTAGAACTTACCCTATGGTTTTTTTATCGATATCAGCATTTGGAAACAAAAGATTGTGAAATGCTAAGCTATTTACATGAAGAAAATATTGGAGAACATTGTTTTATTTAGATTGATAGATGGTGGTAGAAGTTGTTCAGCAGAATAACAAAAGCTTTCTTCCGGTTGTGTTGGTCGTCAAGAAGGCAGCCTACGCAACACAAAACGAAAATAAAATATTGTAACACATGTATTAAGCTGTTGAGAAGAATTAAGTACCAGAGTTTACTATTTTTTTTTTCCAATTTTATTCATCTGAGGTTTGATTTCAGGATTATGTGTTTTCTGTTTAGTGTGATTCAGTATGGGTTTATCTAGGTTTGTGGCTAAGTTTACATTAATGTTGATTTACATTTTTCGATTTTCCTGTAAATTTATATGAGTTTTGGTTTTTTATTGTTAATTTAGTAATGCTATGGATAATTTTGGCTTCTAGATTGGTTCGAGCATTTTTTTTTTTTAATAATTTCAGTTGTAGATTCATTGT